AAATAAATTGCAACTAAAAAGCTTTCTACAGAAGAAAACAGCACACCACACCCTGTACCCAGTGGCCTGAAAAATATACCAGGCACATGTACATGTGTGCCCAAAATTCCAAGAAGAGAATGGAGGAGAAGGGAATGTGGAGTGGCATTCCCTCTGGAGGGGGATTTCTCACTTCCTTTCTCTCTCTGCCTCTCTCTGGTGAGCACACATGCCCCATGGCAAAAAAAGAGACTAGGATGGTGTCAAAGGTTAATTCTTCTGAAAACACAGGGGGGAAAAACACCAATCCCACACAAAACACTTTCAGAAAACAAGAAAAACTTCCAAACTCATTTCATGTCATTTAAATAACTATAATACCAAAACCTGACGTAGATGTTACCAAAAAGAAAATTACACATCAATATTCCCCGTAAACTTAAACACATAAATCCTAAACAATAGAAAATTAAAACCAGCAGTACTATGGATTAAGTGAAATTGCCAGCATTTCAAGATTGCTTTAACATTCTAAAATCAATTACTTTATTCTTTCATATTTAAAGAACACAGGAGAAAAATCATATGACTGTCAATACATGTAGAAAAATATTTGACAAAATCCAACAGATTGAGGAAGCACTCTCAGTCTGAGAAAAGACACCTATGAAACCTAACAAGACAGCATCAACTAACTGGTGAAATACTCAAGTTCCCCTGCTAGTAGAGACAACATAAGGATGTCTGCTATCATGATATTTACCGAACAACACTGGAGGAGTCTAGCAAGGCGATAAAAGGAAAAGAAATAAAAAGCATAAAGGATCAGAAAGGAAGAAATATGTTTTCTTTATTTACAGATAGTGAATTTTTATTAAAAAAAAAAAAACTTAAGGAATCACACTACTAGAATAAATATATGCATTTAGCCAAGATCACTGAATATAAGATCCACATACACAAATCAATTGTTATATACCAATGGCAATCATTTAAGTTAGCTTTAAAATGATCTTGAATAACACCATCAAGAACAGAGTATTCAGAAATCAAAGAAATGAAGACTCTCTACTAGAAACTACAAAATATTGATGAGGAAAATGAAAGAACTAAAACACATATATTGAGAAACAGTCATGAACTGAAATTTTCAGTATTAAGAAGCTATCAACCTGGGGCCAGCAGGTGGCAGGTGGTTAAGGGTACTGGACTCCCACATGGCTGATCGCAGTTCGAGACCTGAGTCTGGTGATTTGCTTTCTCAGTCTCTCTCTCTCACTCTCCCTCCCTTCTTCCTCCATCTCTGGTTGAATTAAACAGATAAAATAAATAAAGCTAAATAGAAAAAGAAACTATCAACCCTCCCCACAAATTGGTTAAGTAGATTCAGTGAATTCCTAAACAAACCCCAGCAAGAATTTTTACAGAAATTGACATCTTAACACCAAAAGTAATATGCAAAATTAAACAAAATTAAGGAACCAAAACATTCTTTAAAAATAAAAAACGAATAAACCCAAAGTTGAAGAACTCATATTGTGATTTCAAGACTTCTCACAAAGCTTCATAATAAAGCCGGTATAGAACTGGCATAAAATAGATGAAGATTTGTTGAACAGAGCATCTAGGAGACCCACATATAAATGGTCAGTCGACTTCTGACAAAAGCACCAACACGATTTGATAAAGTTTTTTTTTTTTCTTTTTTGAGAGAGGGAGAGTTTTATTATAGGGCACATGCGCTCGCCAGAGAGAGAGAGACAGAGAGAAATAAAGTGAGAAATCACCTCCCCAGGAAAAATAGCCACACCACAATGTCTTCTCTTCCATCCTTCTCTTGGGATTTTGAACACACACGCACACACACCTGGTGTGAGTTTCAAGTCGCCTGATCTGGGACTCACTGTGGTCAGTCACATGGAGTCTAGCACCTTAACTACTACACCACCTGCTAGCCTGAAGAAATTTTTTTAAAGGTTATTTATTCCATGAGAGAGAGAGAGAGAAAGAGAGTGAGTGAGCACGAGAAAGTGAGACCCAGACAGGCGCTCTCACATGGTCAACGTGCCATAATTCACCCCTTAACTCTACCAGCCAGAATCAGAGCATGCAGACCCAAAACGTACAGGGAGACCTTAGGACATGAACTCGGGGCCTTCCCATATGGTTTTAGCATCATGCAACAAAAATTGTGTTACTGCTAAAACACCACAGCTGTCCAGGAAAGATTTTTGTTTTTGTTTTTTTCCCCTCACAATAAATCATGCTGAAACAACTAAATGGATGAAAAACTACCTTCACAATAAAGGTCATTCAAAATGGGTCACATTTCTAAACAAATTAAAATTATAAAGTTTTAAAAAATTATTTTATTTCATAAAATAGTAGGCAAACATTTCTTAGGACACAAAAAATGGTAAATAAGAAGGAAAAATATGATAAACTAATTTCCTCAAAATTAAAAACTTTTATTCATCAAAAGACACTATTTAAAAAATAAAAACATAACCCTCCAACTGTGAGAAAACATTGTAATTACAAATACCTGACAAAGGACTTATATCCAGACAACTCAATAACGACAACAAAATCTATTTTAAAATAGGCAAAATTGGACACTTCACAAAGAAAATGGTTAATTAGTCATAAATCCTCATATATCCTCAGGAAAGCATACATTAAAACCACAATGAGATAGTACTTCATAGTCACCAGAATATCTAATATTTTTAAATTGACAGCACCAATTATCAGCAAGAAGGTAGAACAACTGAAACTCATACATCACTGGTAGAAATGTAAAATGATACAACTTTGGGGAAAATTCTGGCTATTTCTTACAAAGTTAAACATACATTTGCCATCCAATCCAGCAAGTCCACACATAGGGATTTACACAAGAGAAATAAAAACATATGTCCACAAAGAGGCTTGAACAAAAGCCCACAGAGGATCGACTGAAAGGGGCATAGGGAAACTTTCTGGATTACTCTATACCCTGGTTTGGGTGACAGACATATAGCTGCATATTTTTGTTAAAACTCATTGTACACTTAAAATCTGAGGTTCACTATATATTTTTTACCTCAATTTTTTTAAATGATAAAATGTTGAAACTTAGTTCTGAGCATTCAGTTTTTAATACTATTCTCAAGCTTTTAAATGCTCCTCTCACCCCAAAATTAACTACATGCACACACACAATCTCTCCCTTTCTCTCCTGGTTGCCCCCCAAAATTTATTTCTCACTTTTTCATTACAGAATCCCTAATTTTAGCCAATACCTGAAAACCTACCATCCCTGCAGCTAGGAATGACAAGATGGTTCTAGACACTGAGATAAAAGAAGAAAGTATCAGGTGCTGCTTGGAGAAAGGAGGCTGCATTCCTTCCTTTCTTTACCCCATGCATACCTCAAGCCCAGGGCAGAGACCACCGAGAGCTGAAAGAATTCCAAGTTCCAGGGACCATCCAGCAGCCGGACCTGGCCTCCAGTGTTTATCTACTAGTGTGGGTTCATGAGAGCAATCAGCCGCATCTTGTTTAGGTCATTATTTGGAGGTTGTTTTTACAGCTGAACTGGATCCTATCCTGATTTAGAAAGTGCATAAAGTAGAAACTTAAAATTAAGCTTATCTTCATTCTATTCTCATACTACATAATGGACATTTAACTAAATATAACTTCATAGTGCATTTTCTCTCTCTTTTTTTTTTTTTTTTTAAACTTTTTCTTCTCCAAATTCACTTTCAGGAGTAACCTTACATTTTTTCCAAAAGGGGGGGGGGGAAAAACTGACACATAATTTCTGTGATTTATTGTGCAACTGAACATGCTAAAATACAAAATGACATTTTCCCCTACAAATTATTTGGTGCCTGAGATTTTCTGAACACTCCAGCCAGATGGTTCTCATAGAAATTGAGACGACTGTATTCATATAGTTCAAAGGTTTGCTTATTTTTTGGTCTTAAAAAAAAAAAGACTATATTGATTGTAACATGCGGCTCTACAGGAAAAATCTCGACAGTGGAGGTGAATACTGATATTTATTACTGCACTTGTGCTCATTATGGCTGTCTCTGACAGGGGTCCATTAAAATCAATTTTTATGTTTCTTATGTATTTTCTTTATCTAATGTTCTTGGCATTGTGTTTATTAGCCAGTTAAGACAAACACCGAGTACAGGAGTGGGTAGTTTTCTTTTCTTTCCTTTTTTTTTTTTTTTTTTTTACTCTTTCTGTCAGAAATAACAAGGACTGCAATTTTAATACAACTACTCACAATCAATGGAGGAAATTAAATGTTACACTTCAGGACAAAACAGTAAGGAGAGCTTTAAATTTTTTATGTTTTTACAATTAGAGAAATATAGTGGGGATTATTTAAAAAAAAGAGAGAGAAAGAGAGAGAGAAACCTGTTTCCTCTTAGAAATGGCAATACCCTATCATCAGGCTAAATAGAGACTTTTCTGTCCATTCTCCTGCAGGGCTGTCCTTGCTGCACTTAATAGCCTGACAACATCTCTAAGAAGGTGAATGGATAGAGCTCCTGAATAGGCAAATCCAGAACATCAGTACAAAACTCACCTGGCTGACTGTGATAAACAGTGAAGACTTGCCTTGATTTAAAAATCAAAATCAATCATGCATTTCTCCATCATCAAGTTTCCAGAGACATTCTCGCATCACATTTGTTGAAGAATCAAAATGTTCAATGTTCATAATCAATCAACTCCTCTCTAAATGTATACATTAATCAAACATCTTGGAGCTATTAATTGTTGTGTCCCTGTGGTTAAGAGGAGGTAGGTGGAGGATTTCTGGGCAACACAGAAGGATGCTGAAGATGTAAGGATAATCACAGTATGTTGCTCTTAGACACAAATGCTTGTGGTTGGTAGCATAAGGCTATATGTTACCTTGCGATCAACGGAAAACAAGTAGTAATCATGTTTACTTCATTCTCCCACTTTTAACTCACACCACATATGGGGTATTACACAGGGTTCGCACTTACTCAGTTTTCAGGGTCTTCTTGCCCAGGAGCCTTATCCCATGCAGACCTTGCTCACAACCAGATATCTCTATTTTCCCCAAAGGGCTGTTTAACATTTTGTATGTCATTTCACAGGCCTTGTCCATTCTGTCAGGTACCTAAAGCAAAACAATTTTCAAATCAGATAAAGTAAATGCAGAAGAGTTTGGTCATGTATAAAGCACAATAGAAATAGAACCAGTTGGGGACCAACAGATGGCTTAATAGTTATGTCGCTGGACTCCCATGGAGTCGACCATGGTTTGAGTCCCAGACCCAGTGACTTAAACGACTAAAGCTGTGCATGTGTGTGTGCATGCCCAAAATCCCAAGAGGAGAATGGAGGAGCAGGGACTGTGGCTACACCTCTCAGGGGGTGATTTCTCGCTTTCTGTCTCTGTATCTCTGTCCCTCTGGTGTGCACACACACCCTATAGCATAAATTTCTCTTAAAAAAAAAAAATAGAAACAGTTGTTTAAGGCACAAATAAATCCTAAAGTTTTTCCTTAACTTTCAGAATTTAATCATGTAATACATCATTTTTACAATACAGTTACTTTAAAGACAGAAAATTACAATTACCTAAAGCAGTCAACCACTACTACTCTCTCCTCTCATTTCCTTAAATTACTCTATCTCAAGACCAGCAGGTGGCGTGTAGTTTAGTCAGCTGAATCCTACATGGCCGACTGCATGGATGAATCCTGGACCTTGAGGCTTGAGAATCTCTCCTGGCATGTGTGCCCAGAATCCCAAGGGGAGAGCAGACAACAATAGGATTTTGGCATGGCTATCCCCTTGGGGGGTGACTTCCTACTTTCCTTTTCTTTCTCTCTCTCTTTGTCTGGCAAGTACACATGCCCTATAGCAAAGCTTAGGGAAAAAAAAAAATTTTTTTTTAAGAGATTAAAAAAGACCCTCTCTCTATTCTTTTCAGCTCTTTTTAACTAACACATAATTGACTGAAGTTGATTTGGTAAGAATGGCTTTTAAAGAGGACCCAAAAAGCAAGCCTTTCTTTAGCAAAACAATAAATGAAACAACTTAGACAGTGAAAACAGACAACAAACCATTCAATATCTTAAAGTGCATTTAAAAATAATGCATGTATGAAATGAATTACAGAAATGGAGTGAGATTCAACTCATTACTTACAGAAGAACACCTATGTTAGTAGGCAGTTGGGAGAGGACAGGCAATGTTGGAAAACACAAATACTGTTGAAAGCATACAAGTCTGATTTATATTCAAAGAAATGACAAATGTGTGAAAGCTATCTATGGTCATATCCTCTATGTTAATTGTGATAGCTGTTAATGCTGGTCAACATAGCAAGAGCTATGAATACATGCATTAAGATCAAAGAGAATAAGAAGTCAGTAAGGGGGGGGGGGTTTAGACAATTATAAATATCACCCTAATTCAGGGAGAGACAGGAGAATGATGATTTGAGAGGGGTGACTACCTGGACCAGACTAAGCCCTTCTACTCCATGCCTCTTCTTCCTTACGACCCTTCTCGAGTTCCTGGAAATAAGCCAGTGAAAGCTCCTCACCCTCCTCATTTTCCTATTTATGGATGTTTCCCACAAGTCCACCTTTGACCACAACCAACAATTAACCAAAACACCTGAAACCTCTCATCTGAGCCCTTCCTCTGAACTCAATTTACAAGCTGGACTGCTTATTCTGAGCTAAGGTTACAAACCGGGCTGCTTATTCAATTTTTCTGCTTCTCTGTAGAGGTACCTCAAATTAACTTGTCCAAAACTGTTT